AAAATTATTCTACAGAACCTATTAGAAAAGAAAAAAGATAACTGAAATGAGAAGTCGTCTAAACTAATCTGTAAGCATGATTCAACTTGTCCCTAGTAAAGTCAAAAGACTGAAAATTCACATCGTCACAATTAGCTGCACACAAATTACTCAGAGCTACCATATCAAAGGATAACATTAAGGAAAGACCCAACATCCTATATGAGATTCACGATAGATGTGTTACAAGTCTCCTGAAGTCTGTCTCATTCGATCAATCTTAATGTGTCAAGCAGGAGCATATAGGCATAATTGACAGATTCCTCGTGAAAGTCTGAAATAATATGTAAGCAACCCTTTGGCATTTAATGAATGTATAAGTGAAGCAGCTTCAATCAATGAATGGACAAAATTTGAAATAGTAGTATCCTAATAATTCACATTCACTAGCAGGAAGTGCACAACAAAGCCATCCAAATGTAGATACTTCACAATAAAGAGCTCACAGAAACCAATTTACCTTTCTGGTGCAGTTGAAAATAAATCATCAAGCTCAGAATTCCTAAGGACTCCATCCTGCATAAAACAAAAAATTTACAGATTTAGGAACAGCAGACAATAAGTTTAAGATGTCTGGTACTATCAAAAGACTTAAAAGGCTTAGCAAAAAGTATTTGCATTTGCCTCCATGTTGGTATATGATATGAGGATCTACAAAAATATCCAGCATCCTGCTTCATTGCTAGAACCGAAGACCTTTTGAGACAGTACGGGCTGGGAAATTAATTGGTTTTGCGTAGAAACTTCTTCAAACAAGGGCAAGAAGAGAGCTTGGATATACAAAATATATTAGCCTCAGAAAAAACTCAAATTGCTTCGCCATCCTAAAGAAAGAAATTAAGGAAGAGACAATACACTGCAAATTGACACAGCTTAAATATGGAATCAGTATTGCAGTCAAAAACGGATAGAGCTCCTCTTTCATCCAGAGATAAGGACTGTAATGAGAGATAAAGTTCTCAAACTTTTTCCAAATCATGAAGGCTATTTATGGATAAGTTCTTATTTCTGCCAATGAGCTGAGTGTTAATCTTTTAGAAGCTGTGCAATGTGTGTTGACCATCTTCCATTGACTCGTTATTATCTTCATGTTTGTTTTTGGAATCTTAAAAAAAAAGAGGATAATTGGAATTTGGCTCAACTAAATTCCTCAAAGTTCATTTTTCATTTCTAATTGGGTTAAATTTACATTGTGACTACATAATTGCTCCTTTGTCTTAAGAACATTCTTTTTGACTTACTGTATCAAAGATTGTCCTTTATCTTTACAACCATTAAGAGTTCTGGTGAGATCAATTCACTCATAGATTACTCAGAATAAGCCCACCTCTTACCAACAATGAACGCATAACATTATCCCCTTTATTATCAAGTCATATTAAATACATGGAAAAAAAACAGTCACATATACGACAAAATGCAAAACAGTGCCCGAGTATACTTTATCGGTGTCAAATGTGCTGAAGACCCCTTTCAAGAACTCCACTGCTTCGCTGGTCAACTCCAGACTCTGCAAGAAGACAAAACATTGTTGAGAAGGGAACTGACAGAAAGACAGTGAGGAGCTAAAAACAAATATGAATATACCGCCGGAGTTTTTCTTGTAACAAACAATATTGGTGTCAGACAACTTAAACCTTCGGAAAAACTGAAAAGAAGCAGCATTGGAACGGAGAAAGACAATTCCTATAATCTGATCCTTGATAAGTTTCCACTATCGGAACTGTGATTAAGGGTGCTGATTCACCATGAATCAGAAACTCTATGCAAACTAGGTCAACCTATTATTGATATTCCCCATGAATTTTCCTTCTAGCATCTATGCCAAAGTTCTTTCAAACACAGACAGTCAACTATAAGCCTAATAATATCTTGGACTTTCACGAGTGTCATAATAGTCATCTGCTTCATAAATAGAGTCACCTGATCAGGAGCTTTTTTGAAAGGTATTGAAAGGTAATCATCCTTCAGCTTAATTTCATCATTGTACCCAAATTTCCTTAACACGGTCCAAGTTGTCTCGAGTCGACCCTTCTCTATAAAAAGTGCATGAAGAAAAAGAAAGCCTGTCAATGTGAGCCCCATGTCATTTACACCTTGAGGTAGCTTCTCTTGTACTACTCTCTTGACACCCACTATTTCAGCAGGCTGCAGGGGAGCATTGAAGCACTTAATCTGCCAATTTTGATAGAAAAGAGAAAACACAAAATGCTTGAGAATAAGGTTTCTTGAAATAAAAAACCAAAGTAATCAAATGCTTTAACAAATTAGAGGACATCAACGTGAAGAATGACCTGAAATTCATTAAGCTCTTCATCATTGAGAGCATCATCCATGTCATGATCACAAAGGATAAATATCCGTTTCAATGCTCTAACACAACGGGGTTTAAGAGCCTGAGTTTCATGATCAAAAAGTGGAGCTGTTGGATGAAGTACAGCTTTCTGAGCATAATAGAACACTTCAGGTACCTGTAAAGGTTAAAAAGACATCACTCTACTGAAATATAAAACATCTGCAAGGAAAAGTTCCTAGTGACAAGTTGCACCCACCTGAACTAGGTTCGCCGCAGAACATTCTATGCAAGTCTCAATCTCGCGGAACTGTTGCATGATTGGAGCCATCACTTGCTCTAGATTCATATGATGCTCCTCATCTCGCTTATCTAGCTTACAGCCAACAACAATTACCGGCACCTTGATCTAACCATGGTAGAATGCACAGAAGTCACTTTCTCATTTCTCAATACATACAACAGAAGTACATTACCCATCCAAAAGAGTTACAGTGTTATACTTAATCGACTTGCCATAAAAATGATGTATGGAATGGAATAATAATGAAATTGCATTAACATAAAGGAACAAGACTTTCCAGAAAAATACGTTAAAAATACTAAAACTAGCTGGTGACCATAGACATAGGCCTCCATATTTTAAAAAAATAAAGCAATAATCAATCCATTAACAGCAAAAGGCACGTAAAAAGGAATATATGCTCCCTATCGAGATATTTGGCACTTTTCTGGAATTAGTGAATTTGACCAGTATTTTTAGAATGTATTCTTTCACCACTCGATACTCAATATTTTTCTGTAGCTTCTGACTATCTAAATTTTACTTTTGAAAATTGAACTAAAATATTTCGAGTTAACTTCAAGGTTTGACACACTAACCATCGGAAAAAAAGCCCAAACAAATTGGACACAGATGGAGTAAAATAGGTTGATTGGGAGAAAAAAAAATTAAAAACAAAAAGAACCTCTAAGCGACGAAACTCGTAAAGCCAGAAAGTAGTCAAGCGATTGAGAGTAGAAGGCTGATCGCAAGCATATGTGAGGACAACAGCATCAGCTCGCTTCAATTCTTCAGCAACCTTACCTCTGCTCTCCAAACTACATATCATACCCAAACAATTCATCATAATATGATAACCTTCATGACGTATAACCAACAAATCAAGTATTCAAACTCCAAAAAAGAGCAATAAGAACCTTGAGGAAGTGTCAATGATCGTGACAGGAACATTATCAGGATAGAGATCGGCGGGAAGTCGAGTCGGAGGAAGCACCGGTGGAACTTCCTCCGGAAAAGTTTCAGTGGCGGCAGCGGTAATGAGGCTTGATTTGCCGGTGGCGCGGTCGCCGACGACGACAACGCGGACGTTAGTACGGCCGCCGGAAATTGAACTGCCGAGCATTTGAATCGGAGATGATTGAAACAACGTCGTGCACAATGTGGAGATATATGGTGGAGTTTAACACTAGAAAATGGGAATCGAATCAAAATATATATTTAACTATTTAACTTTTTATTTTTTCTTTGTTTCTCTGGAATCCAAATATATATTTACCCAGTTTTTGAAAGAAATAAGTAAGTAATTTAATGGAGTATTGTATGATTGAGGTGTGCAACTACTATATGGAATAGTGAGAAGGTAACTGTCGACAGTCTAATCCATGGCGGATGGATTTCTTAGGATTTGGATTTGGAAATTACCAGGATTGGACTGCTAGCCCACTATGAAAAAATTGGATCATTCGTTCAGGGTAAGATTGGTTGGCCCAAATAGATAGAGTTTACTGTGTTCTATGTAGGCAGGGCAGGCAGCCCGGTGCACGAATCATTCCGTATTTATGTCCAGGGGAGGGTCACACCCTAAAGTGTGTGATATAGACAGCTTACTCTAATGCAAGAATCAATGGCTGATTTCATGACTAGAACCCACCTGTGACCTATAGGACACACATAGACAACTTTATTATTGCTTCAAGGCTCCCATTTCTGTGTTCTACGACAATATCTGTTGAAACTAAACAAATATATAATTAAAATTGAAGTTGAAAAGGAATATTTAAAAGTATTGCACGAAAAACTCTACAATGGTAAAAAGATAATGGGACGTCTCAAAAAGATAGTTCAATAGTTGCCTCCGACTACAGTGTCGGTTGAACCTTCTCTAACCTTAATTGAGAAACTTTCGGTGTTATTCAAGCAATAGTTATGATGTCAAATTTTGAACTTAGTAATACAAGTTTGAATCCCAATTACCATGTCATTTTTTTTTATTTTTTTACTTCTATGCTTGAATAAAATTAGAAAAGATGATAAGACATTAAAATTAAATTCAGGAACTAGAAGGAAATGTCTCCGTAAAAACAATGACCAACTTTGGAAATCATAAAAATGACTTGCTGAAATATTGTCTCCTTGAAACAATATCTAACCTTAGAAATCAAAATATGACTTGTCTGCTCTAGAAATGAATGGAGTATCCGTGCACGAACTTTATAATTCTTGAAAAGGGTCTCAAAAAATTATAGTTACCAGTATTCCTGAGAAAAGGAATGATCAAATTGTGTAAATAAGAACAATTAATCAAAGTCTGTCTTGAATTAATTTGTCTTTATATAAAGCTAGCGTTCTCCACATAACCATAATTAGATATCCCACCTTTCTCTATTTCTTTCTTTTTTAGTTTCTTACTATTTTATCTTTTTTTTGTTTAATGGCTGAAAATGAGGAAGCTGGCATTGGATTTGAAGAATGCAAACCATGGCTACCTGCCCATATTATCCAAGAGGTTTTTGAGAACCAAAATGGCAAGGTCAGCTTCTTTAATCTTTAATTCCTCGCTTGATCTCCACTTTTACAATTATGTTGTATACTTTTTTCTCCTAAAGAAACAATGAATAACAAAGTTTATGTTGTATACTTGACAAGAATAATGGTTGGTTTATTTCTTCAATATAAAAGTTGAGAGTTAGAGTCGCACAGTGAATAAGTGGGAAACTACAGTTACTCCCAATTAGATGAGAACAAAAGCCAAAGAAAAAGAGGAACCTAGTAAACTCAAAATTTGCACAATCTTTATTCCTCTATACTTGTTGGTTTGCGACATTGGTAGGGTATTGTTTATTTTTCTTTTTGTGTCGTCTTGGATAATATACATCTCGTGAGCTAACTTTTGAGGTTAAGTTAGGGTAAATTGATTTTCTTAAATCCATACTTTTCGATCCAATAGATTGTCTTACCATAATGTCGTGCTTTTATTTTAATAAAAGTGTTATCTACGCCGCATGAGCCGTTTATGAAAGACACAAATCCCATAATCGAGATACAAGTTTTTTCATTGCCCTAGGTAGTTTTTTTCCTTCTTACACTTTCTTGTTTGTTATTATCTTTTGGACTATTCTTTAGTACATTTTCAATCAAGAGAATTGCATTTTCTACTAAATACTTTCCAGATTATGTTTGGAATTAGATCAAAATTTCGGATAATTAATTAAAATAAAAAACATTAATTATCTACTAATTTTCAGTTTAAGGATGATATGATGTACTTTCTCTTAAGAATTTGATAATACTAAATATGATTCAATCTCGAAGTTGTATATAGAATTAACCATTATTTTATCGCAAACTAATTAATTTCTTGTTCTTGTGTTTCAGCATCACTCAAAATATTTTGGATTGACATCTCAAAGAAGAATGTATTTAAAAAATTGTGCAATTGGAGGACCTAAAATGCAAGCAATCTTCCTTGATTATGGGCAGAGATCTAGTGGGACGGGAGTTTTCCTTCCTCAAAGAGGAGGAAAAATCCTCCAACCATCTAATAAGTCCGGTAAAAAAGAAAAACGAGCTTTAAATTCTAAATTTGCATTTACCTGCCAACAAGCATTCAGCTTATTAGTATCGGTGAGATCCGGGGCGGAGCTAGAGTGACAGGAGCGGGTTCGGCCAAACTCAGTAGCTTTGGTTCGAACTCTGTATTTGTCTTAAAAAATTCATTGAATATGTATATATTATTAATCTAGAACCCAGTAACTTCAAACGATTAGAATCTCGAACCCATAAACTTGAAATCCTGGTTCCGCCTCTAGTGAGATCGAGTCTGTCACACAAATATATGTGAATCGACTATGACGATAATTTTTTCCAATTTTCCAACCAAAAACATTTTGTGTATAAAAAAATGCATTTCCTAGTCTTCTCTTATATTCATTTCCTTTCTCTCATTTTCAGTAATAAGATTATTAGTCTAGTTAAACTATTAAGTATCAATTACTATCAATATAAACAAGAGAATAACCTGTATTTTCAAATAGATGAGTAACAAGATAGTGAAGTAATGTTATCTTTGATGATGGGATTCATTAATTTTGGCTGCATTAGTATTCATTGTACTGTTTGAAAAACTATTAAAATAACTCAAATAATTGTGAAAAAAACAGCAACGTTTCCTGTCCTCCTTCCTGCCCGTGTTGTTCAAGCTCTAAATCTGAATGTACATCAGCTCAATATGCAAATCAAGTCCAAGAGAGGTATATTTTCCATCTTTTTTAAGAGTAAGTATATTTTTAGCCGCTCTAAAAAATAGTAGGCGACAATATATATATTTTTTGTATATATGCGTATTATATACAAAAAATATACATATTTTATATACTTTTCGATTGGCGAGTGTAATTAGTTTCAGCCGACCGGCAAGTTTTGTATTTTAACTATTTTTAAATTAGCAACTCTACCTATAGTGTCTTTACAATATTAGCCCTAATTCACTGAAAATTAATTATCCAGTTGTTGTTCTTTAATTTAGCTTTTCTATAGTTCTCTCTTTCGTTAGCATTTTACTAGGTACAAGTTTGTAATCTTTATTGACTTAATACATTAATATTACTGATTGGTCATTCCATTTTTTTTGGTAGGAACATATGTTGATGAAAGCTGGAAAAGTGATGAGTGCAGTTTTGCCAAGAGTGAGAATGGTGATTTATCAGGGCAACATTATTCGTCAGATATTTTTCTTCCAAAGGAATGGACTTACTAATTGGCAATAAATTTGGGAAAAGAAATAAATCAATAAAATAATGGACTTATGTTATGTTGACGTTTTTATTAGTAAATATTTTAAACCATTCGAGACTTAAAATTTGTTCTATTCTTGATCGTGCGTGTAATATATTGTAAAATAATTGCATCCAATAAGATATTTTTACTAAGTTAAATTGCCGATTTCCCATCATGTAATATTTTAATTTACAATACTAATTGAGTGTCTTATGATCTTATTTATACTTTTAAGCGGTGGATATCTTTTTCAAATTACTATTATTACGCCTAATTGACATGCGATTTTGTAAATTAATCTATTGTAACACCCCGTAAATTCGGCTTAGGTGTGAACATGTTACATGAGTAGTAATATTATATTTTAGACATGTGAAGTTCTATCGGGATGAGTATGGGTGGATGTAGTTATTTTAGAACCAAGACGGAGAGTGAGGTGTATAAGATTCGATAAAATCGACTAAGTTTACAAAAGGTCAGTCTTCTAGCAGGATTTAGTGAAACGTTGTAAGGAACTTGGGAAAATGCAAAACACGAAAATTGTATCCCTTTGAAATAGCTTTCCAACGATATATTGTGAAGCCCGAACGGATCTCTGTGCAAAATGCTATGTGCGTTTTACTGAACAATGCGCAATATGCGCGCCCGGATGGTTCCATGCGTGGCCGCGCACTTGTGGCAGTGCTGATGTCCTGCTGCGCGGGGGCGCACCCGGGGGGAGGGGTCATTTTTAAAGCCCTACTTTGTCTCCCACACCCCAAAACATAAAAACTTGCTCTAGAAAGGGAAGCTCTCAAGAACCTAACCTCCCCCAAGGTCCCTCCACCATCCAATGTGAGTTCTAATAGTAATTCTAAGTTAATTTTAATTCTTCAACACCTTATTAACATGGGTAAACTCTTAAAATCATTAGATATTCGATTGGGACATCATTGTTGAGAAAAGAAACTGTAGAATTCGAATTCAAGAGGATTGAACGTTAAAAAGGTAATATCTTCACCCTCTACTTGATTATAGTATTGGATTAATGACTATAAACTCTAGTTCATGAGATATGAGTTGATGGGTTTGACGGAAAAGCATGAACGGTTATAGGTTTGGGTTGTTGATTATTGATTATTGGTTAAGGGTGTTGTTTATCTTATGAGTGATAAAGAATGATGTTGATTATAACCATTTGAGATTTTAGAATTTATCTAGGAGCAATAGAATGGGTTGTTGGGTGTAGAAACACGATTAATAAGGGTTATAAAGTTTTATACCCACCAAGTATTTGATAAAATGCCTAAGTGACCAAAACATGAGTATTATTGCTAATATGGAATCCCTTTGACTTGTATTGCTATAGATTAAAGTTGAAAGCGTTGACAAACGCTATATTACGCTCAAGAGCAGGAAGTTAAGGTATGTGAGGCTAACGCTCTACATTTGGGAATGTTTATGATTCTCCATATGTCTCATTCTTTATGACTATTATGAATTCTTCGGAAAGTAATTATGCCTCAGTTCCATGAATGGTTGTAGAACTTCTATTCTCTAGATGGCACAATTCATAATTCATTCAATATCTTATAAGCCTCAGTTATGACAAATCAGTTTATTATGAA